TACTTTATCCATGACGTCGAAAATACCAGATCCTTGGTGGAAGATATCAAGATCCGTAACGAACCAATGTGATCATGTTCGCTAGTGATAAAAAAAGAAATAAACTTTCTCCTTGTAAAGCCATTAATAAACTGCGTATGCAGGAAACGAGATGACCAATGCAAAAAATAAACGGATTACAACCTCTAACGAAAAGTCGCTGAACAATTTGAAGAGATTAAAAACTTCTGCCACATACTCAATCCACTAGTGGTTTCAAAGAAAAAGAAAATTGCGCCATAGACAAGCGGATTCTGACTCCGATGAGGAGCCTTCCCTCAAAACAGCATCGATATAAACAATTAGAGAACCAATAGACGACAGCATTTGGACAACGAAGATGAATCAGCCATCAGCTCACTACACCCCAAAGACCAACCAACAAAAGTGACACCATTCCCGCAAATAGAAAACCAAACTCCAGGCCAAAAACAAGCAGAATTGATAAAGTGCCATTATGTCGTAGATGACGTACCAAAGCGGATGAATTCTTAAAAAACTTAAACAAGCAAACCGGAAAAGAGATAACTGGCACCTTAAAAGGACGCCGCCTTGAAATACAGACTCTGACTCACATCGATTCATTCGCAAAATAATTGAAGAAACAAAGCTTAAAGCCCACTTATTGCTTATTGCCCGAAGATAAAATTTTAAAAGTCATAATAAGAGGCTTACCAATCACCACAGATTCCCAAACCATCACTCAGGAACTTCTTGACAAAGAATTCAAGGTTAACTTTATTACACTATTAATAAACAAAAAAGAAAATAAACCAATGCCGCTTTTCTTTGTACATATACCAAAATCAGAAGAAAATAAGGAACTATTCAAAATCAAACGCATAGGTTATATGAACGCATCAATAGAATCATTACGCAAGAAACCTGGCCCTCCACAATGCTATAGATGCCAGGGATTTTTTCACAGTTCCCTGCTCTGCACCAGAGACTGGATATGCGTCCGTTGCGGAGGCAATCATAAACCTATAGAATGCACCCGTAGTCGCGATCAGCCAGCCATATGTTATCACTGCAAAGATCCTCACCCAGCCAACTTCTCAAATTGCCCGGCCAGACCAAAAACAAACAATCGTTCCAACCCAGTCCTCACCAGCAACCAATCCTGGAGTAAACAGAAGACAAGACTTCCCTCGCTGACACCAAACGGTAACGAAAATCTCGCTCAACCTCCATTCAAAACGAAAATCCAAGAGAAGAAACTACCAGCACCGCAGAATCCTCCCTATCAGACTCTTTGACTCTCTCTTCGCTAAAAACAATCTGGACAATAGTGATGCAAGGACTCAAAAACATTAAAACCAAGAAATCACCTCTTGATAAAATAATTGCAGTAGTCGAAATCATTGAAAAAAATAGGAAATCATCTTTAATTCTAATAAATTCAAGAATAGGTGCAACATAAAAATCCTCTCTTGGAACGCAACGGTCTTACCATAAAAAAAGATGAACTATCCAACCTCATTATTGAAATTGAACCTGACGTAATACTCATACAAGAGACTCACCTTACACCAGCACTCAAAGTACTTTATGCTAATTAAAACACCTACCGTACGGATCATGAGAGAGGAAGAAGCGGTGGCATCGTCACATTTGTTAAAAGGAGTATAAAACACTCTCAAATTCCTAATCCTATCACCACTTTCGAAAGTAACACAATAGAAGTCGTAATAAAACATAAAAAATTCAAAATTTCGAATATATACATCCCACCAAATAATAACTCAGCGCACAAGAATTGATTCACCTCCTTAATTCTAATACTTCTACCATTGTCGGAGGGGACTTCAACGCCCAACACCCTGCTGGAACCGAGGACCTGCTAACAAAAAAGGAAATGACATATTTAAACTCATTCAATCAAATAATTATAACATTCATGCTCCAGACGAGCCCACCAATTACGGGTACAATAGCGCCACCACAATTGACTTCTTCATCTCAAATAACATTACTAACAAATGCAATATCTCTGTAATTTCAGCGCTGTCTTCCGACCACAATCCCATTGTATTTGAAATCCCCATTAATAAATACCTCCCCTCATACTCTTGACAGAAGTATAGGTGTTGTGAAATGAACTGAAGTAATAACCGGCGCGAGGCGCTGCTGTTTGTGACGTCAGCCTGCGTGCTGAGTTTTTTTCGAATGTTTTGCTTGTAGACGGAACGAAAGCTGATCTCGGAAGAGTGAGACTGTTTGATGGAATAAGAATGACTATTAGAATTTTTTTTCTTTATTCATAATGCACCCAGCCTCGGGTAGAGGCAGGCCCGCAACCGAACGAACTGTTTTGAATATATTTGATTTATATATTTTCTGTGTCCTTCGCAACAATAGGAGTTACAAATTGGATCAAATACTCTGAAATTCTGAATAACTCCATACAAGGTAACCCATGCATCAACAACAAAGAAGATTTAGAACACGAAGTCTCAAAATTTACCAACAGCATCAATTCTGCTTTAAAGGAAGCCACCAATACTTTTTATGTGAACAAGCCTTTCCTCCCCCCTGCCTGCCGATATAAGAAATAGTATTAAAGAGAAAAAACCGGATCGTAAAAGATGGCAAAAACCACCAGGTATCCACAACTCAAATACGAACTAAATTCTATGCAAAAAGAATCAACAAAGAATTCAAGAACTTCAGAAACCAAAAAATGGACCAATTTCCTAATAACCTAGCTATAAGGACAATTCCCTATTGACATTTCCCGCAAATTCAAGAAACCTTATAAACCTATTCCACCTATCCATGGACCTAGTGGAATCCATATACAGAAGAAGATAATGCTAAATCTTTTTGCGGACTATATGGAAGATACATTCACTCTTAATCCCACTCCGTACGACAATAACCATATAAAACGGGTCAACCAGGTGGTCATTAACTTCCTTAAACCCTCTCCGTACAACTTCACTTTCTGACTACCCCACAATCGTGCCAATACCATCAGCGCCTTACAAACGAAGAAAGCCAAGGCCGATGGCATCTCGATCAAAGCACTGAAGCATCTTCCGATCAACGCTCTTACCTGCCTAACTAAGATAATCAACAACATTATCAAATTCGCTCATTTTTCCTAACTCATGGAAGCAAGCTATAATAATTGTTTTTGCTAAACCGCAACAAATCCAACTCTCCCACAACTATCGCCCTATCAGTTACTTAGCCATCTGTCTAAAGTTATGAGAAGCATCCAATCCTACTTTTCCACATCCAAAAAAATTCACCCTCCATTGAATTTTCTCCCAGAAGAACAATTCGGTTTTCGTTATCATATAGCACTGCCACCAAACTTCTTAGTTTTATCAACATTATCATTGAAGGCTACAACTGCAAGCTTCCGACCGGTGATTTCTCGATGTCGCGAAAGCTTTTGACAGGGAATGGCATCGCGGCCTTATATACAAATTAATCACTCTCAATTTTCCAGATCATTTTATTCGCTTAACTGCCTCTTTTCTCAGTAACAGAACATTCAGAATCAAAATTAGAACTGCTTACTCTACCAACAACAGAGTAATCAAAGCTGGTGTCACACAGGGGTCGGCACTTTCGCCGTATCTTTTTAATATTTATACGCAAGACATCTCTAAAGAACCTTCGGTTTATCTTGCCTCTTTGCCGATGACCGCCATACTCTAAAGCCCTGCACAGTTATCGCCGTAAGAAAACCAACTCCAAAGCTATCTCATAAAACTGGAAAAATGGCTTCCTTGGAGGATTAAAATTAACATTGATAAAACTAAGGCAATATTTCCGTAAAGGAAACATGAAATACTATCCTCCAACCCCTGAAATATTTGACGAAGAAATAGAGTGGATTAATGAAACCAAATACCTTGGAATCACCCTTGACCAAAAACTTACCTTCAGAACTCACTTCCGGTCCGTAGTATAAAAATTTAAAATCACCACAGCTACTATGCGACCTCTTCTTGGTAGAAAAAGCAACTATCTACTACAAACAAATTAATTCTATATCGCTCCATACTGCGCCCGGCCCTCCTTTATGCAGCACCGATCTGGGGACATGCAGCTAAAACCAATATTAAACACTTACAAATTCTACAAAATAAAATTCTACGAGAAATTATCAATGCTCCTTGGTATATTCGAAACATCTACATTCACAGAGGCCTTCAATTCGGAACTTATTCAAGAGTATATTAAATGATTAGCGGTCAATTTCTTTCATTCAGTTTCAAACCCCCACAGTAATAGCCTTATTAGCACTCTCAGACACTCCACCCATCTGAGTGAAAAACATCGGTACCCATGTGACATCCTTCCCACATAAGAATCACAACCTTAATTGACTCATTCACGCTAAACTGACTCTGCGGTTTACCATTCGCAGCTACATCTTATGACACTGAACTCGCCACCCCCCTTTTTTCACCGCCTCTAGTTCGGACCTCACTCTCTTTTTTCCGCCTCCCACACTCCTTTCACCCTACTCTTTCTCCCCCCACCCGATCCTTATCAGAAGTCGAGTAAAAAGATGTTTCTACATCTTAACACTCGAGAATAAAAATACGATCTGTGTATAAGAGAACACGTAAACTATGACCTATTATTGAACATATTGTCAAAAGGCCATAAACCATTCATCACAATCCAAAATCAGAGCCAGATTTGGACTTGACAAGGTCATACGCTAATTTGAGATATGAGGCTCTTTATAAGTCTGTTATAATATATTTTAATAGTAATAATTCACCCCAAAAAAGTGGGGACCCTATATTTTAGAAACCTTGCGTAGCTTATACATAAATCTGGCTCTATCCAAAAATGGTAAATTTTTAATTGTTTCTCAAGCTTAGATCTTCAAATTCCCTCTACAACAGCTCAAAAAAGACACTTTTACATTTAAATAACACCAGCGCCCTCGGGCAAAAACTTCAAATAGGTAATAGGATATTTTAAATGCTAATGACCAATGAGTAAATATTATAACCTGGCATGATTCAACAGTAGGCTAAAAGACGTAAATGGTATAAACAGACATCGGCGTAAAATGTAAACATGATTGCATAGTTTCTAGTTTTCTGTCAGTTATGAAAGATGTACGAAATTTTAAAATAAAGGAGGTAAATTCGATAAATCTGCATTAATGTTTACTGTAGTGGTCTATGCCAGCTATACAAAGTTATTCTTATAGCTTTCATTACAACTAAATTTTGCATTTGCTTACCATTTCTTACTTTCTTTCCAATTTTTGCTCATGTTGAATTTTGTCTTTATTAACTATGCGATAAAATCGAACGAAAATTCTTGTAATATGTACTAATATGACACTAGGCAATAATCCTTTTTAAAGCTGCATATTTAATATTACAAAAGTTTAAATTGCAAATTGATTACTATTTGAATTCCGTTTCATTCTGTTAACCTACTTTTATTTTTACTGCTGTTCTAGTTGCCGGATTCTGCATATTATATTCCTCAATTCATAACACCAGCTGAAGAATCATACCTTCTAGAAAAAGTGTATGCTTCTCCTAAACCAAAATGGAAGACATTATCAAATAGGAAATTACAAAATTGGGGTAATATTTATTTATAATATTAACTAATCTTTATTCTCATTCTTTTTATATATATATATATATATATATAGTAGCTCAGTTCTGAATTTTTTTTTTAGTTTAACACCTTTATTTTTCAATCTAATTCATGTTCTAATTAAAAGACATGTGAATTGAACATTTAGTTTAACACCTTTATTTTTTCAATCTAATTCATGTTCTAATTAAAAGACATGTGAATTGTGTATTATCTACCTGAGAAGTCTTCTTTTTATAGATTTAACTTCATGTAATATTTCCTTCTTAAAATGTTTTAATCTTAAATTTCTTATTCTCTTCTTATTATTTTTATTTCCTCTTTTTGTTTTTCATCTATTGAAAAGTTGTTTGAAATTTTTCTTTTTAATGTCCCGGTTCACACTTAAGTATTACTTAAATAGTTTTCTTTGATGAGATATTAACAACAACATGTCATAATTACAAAAACATTTGAAAGATTTGAGGTTTTTTTTTTTTTTTTTTTTTTTTGATGAACTAAAATAATTAAATATTTTTCTTTTAAACATTTCTATAGACTTTATGCATCATGAAAGTATCAAGATGTAAACCTCTGTTTGTTCTATTAACTAGAATCATTGTACTTTGATAAGTATAAATATTCTAACTTAATATCTAGATTCCATTTATTTATATCAGAAATTTTAGTTTATTGTCTGTTCATAAAAGTATAGCTTGTATTAAAAAAATGGATTCTGAAGAAAATTGGATTCTGTGTCTGATCACACTAAAAAATGATGACTTGTTCAAAATCTTCTCCTATGCTTTTTGCATAAAAGTATCTTAATTATTCCTTATTCCATTGGTTAAAGTGGAAATGTAAAATTCTAAGAGAAAAGAAACAAATATATTCTGAAATTAAAAAACAGAGAATTTTGTATAAAAATCCAAAATTTCATGACCATAGCCTGGGAGGATAAGTTTTGAGACTGCAGTAATGGTGATCTGAAAAAAAAAAAAAAAAAAAATAGTAATTAAGCTAATCTTCAAACACAAAAACAATTATAGAATGCATGTAAAAAATTCCCTCTGAATATGGCCAAATTGTATAAAAGCCTTTTTCTGCTGTGTGTGTAAAAGGGAGAATGATGGAAGTTAATAGAATGTTAAGCAAGGATATTACTATGAAGCAAATTTTTTTTTAGAATAACTATTGCTTCAGAAGATTGAGAAAAAGATTATCAATAATTTACATTGAGTATTTGTTAATTATATTACATATTGAGTACATGATACTGATGGTATTAATTTTTCTTATTCCATCCAGATGCATCAAATGTTAAAACAAAAATAAAAATCAAGATTGAAAATCTCTTCTTCCTACATTAAGACATATATTTGTTGTTTTGTCCTTAGTACAGTTAAAGTTACCAAAATAGTTACTTGTACTTAAAGATAATTCTAAAAATGAAAAAGGTTTTAAAAGGGTTTTTTAAGTTCAGATTTACTGCCCAAAAGAATGAAAAAATTAGAAAATGGTGTTATCTATAGGGTCTAAAACCCATTCGGTTTGTTATTATAACCATCTAAATAATATTTTTATTGAACATTTTGACTCTTTTGGTGATTACATGAAATTAAGCATTTCAGAAAATATAGTAAAATATCTCAAAACATTAGCAAAAATTAATATATAATTACAGTTTTTTTAAAAAATTCTTTATCCGTTAACTGTGGTTTTTACAGGATGAAATACATAGCTGAAAGAAATAAAAATCAATTTCCTGTAGAAATTTTAAATCTTTTTACTAAAATCCTGAGTGATTTCAACAAAACATTTGTCAGATACAGAAGTATTTGGTTTTAAATTCAAGAGATGAACCATAAGAATTCATGGTTGAATTAGCTTATCCACTTAAAATTCAAGGGATTTGCCATGTTTTTGCACTCAAGGAATTGCCATGTTTTTCACTTGATACAATATAAATGAAAATAACAGAAACAGTGTGTTTAAATACTCTGATGGATATTAGTGGTATGATTTCATTATCCCAGATGGAAATTACACAGTTACAAAGTTGAACGATTATTTGAAAGATTATTTCTTTAACAACTTGGAAGAAAAAGTAGAGAAATATGAACCATCCTTTAAGTTTGGCATCCTAAGATCTCAACAATGATATATTATCAAATTATTGAATGAACATAAAATAGATTTATCTATAAGTAAATTGCAAAAAATATTAGGTTTTGAAGGTAATTTATTTATGAAGAACGTGGACAAGGCAAATACATCAGTGATATACTGGACAAAAATGACAATATCTACTTCACTGCGATATTGCAGAATGAGCTTTGATCAATAAGACATCGGATGTTATTCTTTCACATACAAACAAATGCTTACCACCAGGGAGTCAAACTGTAGAAATGTTTGATAAATCTGGTTTTTTAATGTAAAATACGAAGATGTTAAGAACATTACCATGAAAATTACAAATTAGAAAATAATAATAATGACTTATTAAACCTGAACAAACAACAAGTGAAATACAATTTAATATTTGAATCTGAAAATGAAATTTTCTTCTATGTAAATAAATTGTCTTAGATATTATAGAAAAAGAAGGGAAAAAAATCCAATGAACAGGGTTTTTAAAGATATTTGAACTGAAATGGGCAATGATGCATTCACAAACTGAGAGATTTACTCTATATGACAGGCAAAGGTTGAAAATATATAAACCATATTTTATTTCTAAGTAAAGCAAAAAGATTTATGACCTGGGTAATATGAATTGTTATTACATACAAGATATAAAGAGTTACAAATATAAAAAAATTGAAAAATAACAAAATACTGATCTCAAGGGCAAAACACAAAAATAGAATTTTTGCTCAAGAGTTTGGATGATTTTTCTCTTTTCATGTAGCTTTCTTTTATCAGACAGTCAATTTAAAGTTGTAAAATCAGATACAGTCAAAAGTCGTTAATTCGGACACCCGTAATCCGGAATGATCTATAATCCGGACCTCAAAGCTAAAATCTTTCTGCGCATGCGCCGCATCGACGCATGCGCATAGGCGTTTTACTCGTGCGCGCAAGACATTTACGACTGCGCATATGCATCTGCGCAAGTGCAGAATACGTTTTCGCGTGCGCGTTTAATGTATAACGGACGGTATAAGCTAAAATTATCTAATTATCTATTTCAGTTAATGTTGATAATTGCGTTGTTCCTTAATCTTCAAATTGGATCCGGCTTATTATTTTTTGCAGACTGTAAGAGCAATTTTCTAAAAGTAAGCTTGAACTTTCGATTATGTCAAATAGAATTTCCGATGCTGGAGCTCCCAAAGGATCTACAAAACGAAAGTATGTTTCGATGTCCATCAAACAAAAAGTGGAATTGCTACAAAAAATGGATAAAAGCATATCCTTTGTTTATCTAACCATTCCGAAATCTGTTTATCAATTTCACGCTGCTCTGCGCGGGGGGGGGGTAACGTCGCGGCGCGCAATGAACTGGAAGTTGATCTGTCAGCACTATCGTTATCTTCAGGGCAGATGTTTTTATTTTAGTCGGCTTATAATTCCTTACTAAATGTAGTATTTCATCTCGATGTACTCCGTCTTTGATATGATTTAAATCAAATTCCTCGTCATTATAAATATCACGAATACAATCAAATAGTTTTCTGGTTGCAATTTTCTAATTTCGGCTATGAGTAAGGTATGCTTTACGCATCCGCGCGTTAAAAGAAATGTTTAATAAAGTAAAAATAAATATTAAGGCTTTCTTTTTTGGTAAATTTTGGATACCCTTTAGATCATAATTGCTCATTATTTTTATAAATTACGGTTTCATATTTTTAGTTTTATAATTTCTGCATGCCATCTTACCAGATTTAAACTGATGATCTATAATCCGGAAAAATCGATAATCCGGAATCGCCGAAGTCCCGACGAGTCCGGATTAAAGACTTTTGACTGTAGTACTTCCATTAGGAATGACCATGTAACATTTGTTGATGGATTATATTTGATTCCCTGCTTAGCACAATCTTCTGGCAAAAATAATGGAATCATGCATATTTTAGCAAAAAAGCAACCCAAAGGTTAAAAACAACTAGATCTATAGGAAACTAAAATTGAGAATTCATCTGTATTTTATCTTTTTAAGAATCTGGAGTAATTCCAAACTTGATACAAAGATCCCACATTGTTTTATGGAAAGGAATGCAACCATTTTTGTGTTTTAGAAGCTGTCTAAAACAGCTATTTGTAGACTCAGTTGTACTAGGTGATGAAAAGCGGATTCTTCATAAGAACATGCATTGAAAAAGGAACTGAAAACAAGCAGATAAAATACGAGAATTCATTACGAGCGCTGCCTTTTATCTAGTAAAAGTATTACAGTCTGTTTGGTGAAATTACAGAAGAATAATTTTATTTGATTCCATATAGTGGACCAGTTAGAGTGAACAGTACTATCAGCAATTCACAAATTCAGTGTGGAAATTCAGAGAAAATGTCTGGTTTGGGCATCATCATCAGTCAAGACAATGCCAAGCCTTATGTTATTCAAGTAATACTTTGAAAAATAAATAAATAAATAAACTTTGATAAAAATTGAAAGATTTAAGATGGAAAATCCCCCAGCTACCATTTATTTTCCAAACCTTTGTCCTCCAGATTTTCATCTGTTCTAATCTCTGTAGAATAATTTGCATAGTAAAACGTTCGATTCTGTAGTTGTCAGAAACTATTGTATAACATTTGCAGAAAACCATGGTAATATCTACAAAGGAAAATCCCAAAAATTTGTAAAACATGGAAAGACTCTAGAGAAAATGGTGGTAACTATATCATGCATAAAGAAATCTATCTCTTTCAAATATGACTACTTGTGTTTTATTTTCAAATAGAGTACAGAAGTTTGCAGTCATCCAGTACATAATTCAGATGACAACAGAATATAAAGGAAATCAAAAAAGAAATAAAAGTATTATGGAATATCAAATTAGTAAAATAGCTTAAGTTTCGGGTTGAAACACTATTAGTTTCTTTTCAAATTCAATATTTCATGATAAAATATTGCCTGCCTTTAAATTTTAGAATTGAATGCATGTGTAATTTCTTATACAGATGCATCCCATCTAGGAGAAGGCCTTTAAATATTCTGTCTAGTTAATTACTTCTTAAAAATCCTAAAAATTATGCTACATATCAAAACTATGAGGGAGACATAGCCTAAAAAAAAGATTCTTGTATTGATTTTGGAAAATATTTTGTTAGTCCTATATGGAAAGTAATAATCTTGATAACTTCTCTAACTTCTCTAGAACTGGTTTGAAAGTTTGTTTCTTTTAAGATAATTTTTTTTAAACAGCTAGTTAATCAGAAGTTTTACAAGTAAAACAACAATATTTTACACTGAAGCAAAATTAATTTTATATTTTATTTTCTTATTTATTCATCTATTTTTGGTAGGAGGACTTCCGCATCCTAAAGGAATGATAGAAGAAGAATTACCGGAGGTAAACTTTAATTTCTGTATCAGACATAAAATATCTGTTTTCCATTATACACAAACAAAATTGAACAAACTCACCATACTTAAGATTAAACTGTAATTAAGTGTTAAAACCTACGGTACTGTCCTGTTATTGGGATCAGGTTCAGAAATGTATGTGCATATATGGGTATATGTAGGCACACACATATATTCATGCTTACATATATATATATGAACACATACATGCATAGATATATACATTTTTGGGTCTGGTCCTGATAACAGAACAGTTCCAAAGCTACTCTGCAGAGATTTAAAATAGTATTTTAAATTTAAGTGAGATGAAGGCTATCCTAACTTTCTAATATTTTTTGCAAGGTAAATTGATATTGTTAATTATTATAATACCAAATCTGTGGGCTGCAGAAGATTTTTAAAAAGACCACTAGTACAGAAGGGAAATTCCAAAATATTCAAATAAGTTGACATATCTTTAATATTAAATAATGAAGAATCTGTACATGTGTAAGTATGTTTGTCATACTGTAAAAATAATGTGAGTACCTGGAGCCACCCAATTTGGAACTCGCATAATTCATCTGTTGAACAGGGACACAACAAAACCTGAATTTTGAATTCCTTAGTTCTTTACATTATATTTTGTGCAAATATGATGAGTTTTTGATTAACAGATTCAGCAGTTTAAAAGCAATCTGTTGCCACTTGGCAAAACACACGATGTTTAAGTTTAAAATTTAATAAAAAAACTCTGATTTAAAAGAAGTGTGTTGCCACTCAGCAGAGTATTAGAATTTATCTTTCAAATTTAATCAGAAAACCAATGATTTAACAAAACTGTGCTACAACTGCTTAAAATAAAATATTTTTTTCTTCCATACACCATTGTGTTGTTTGTCATTTGGCTAAGCATAAGATATTTAAATTTTATTTCAAATTTAATCTATCCATTATTGATTAACAAACTACGTGATTTAAAAACAATAAATGCAGTAAATATATCTTTCTTTTTTACAATAACCATTTTATGTGGGTAGCCATGCAAGCTAGTTATTTTCATACAAATTGTTACATTCATACTTTTTTGGGAGGAGGGGGGGCATATCACTTTATCTGTTAAGAAAAATCATTTATAACACCATTGTTCAAAAAACCAAATCTCTTTCTCACTTTCGTCTGTGGATATGAGTGTATATCATATTTTTGACATTATATTTTACTAATTAAGAAAAAATGTTTCTAATATTATCATTTAGATGTTTTTAAAGAAATTCAGTCTATCTGTATTAATGTAAATCAAGATATACTTAAGAGGATCCAAATCTTGCAAAACCTTCTTAAAAATAAAAATATTTTTTTAAATAAAGTATGAGGATTTTTATAATGAAGATGTAACTTTCCTTCTTAAAGTACTAATAGTTTTTTTTTTTAGTAACTAAGAAAGAGCTGTTCTTTAAAATATTACATTCATTGTGTATACAGTATATACAATAGCATTCTTTTAAAGAAAAAAACCAGTATATAGTTTTAATATAAAATATATAGAAAAGAGAATTATCACTTATTGGAGGATTATTCTGAAGTTTCATATAAAATCTAAAAAAATTCTTTCTATATGCGGATAAAATTTTTAAACGAAAAAAAAAGTAATGAAAGACTTTTATGACTTATACTTTTTTATTTCTATAACCTCAAATTTAAAAGAATATAGAATATATATAAGAAAGTTATTATATTGCCAGAGTATTTCTGCTTAGAGAATAATTTACTTTTAACCCCTCGCTCGCTTTCTCTTAAGATAATTAGAGTACTGAACTACGAATCTAATGATTATCAAGTCGTAAGACTTTCTGTTTTTGTGCTATTTTTAACATTCATTCTATTGGTTTCTATCTTTATATTTGTAAGAATTTATTTATTGAGTTTTATTTATAAAATATGTATTATATTCCCCTTTTTTACAAAATGAAAAGTTTTAACAATTAAATATTAAATTTTAATTATTAAATATTAATTAAAACATGCATAAATAATGATAATAATTTAAAGGAAAAATTCAAATTTATACTTATTTTCTAATTATTAAAATCTATAGGTTGATACAAGAAATTTCTGTTGGCTTTATATTATAGTTCAGATTAAATTTTCAGGCAGACATTAAATTAAAATAATTTGAGCTATTTAGTGTTTAATTTGGTGATTTAACTTCTAAACAACTTACTTTTAGCTTAAATTAATAAAGTATGAAAACATTTTAATTTTTTAAAAAAAATTTTCCAGGGAGAAAGAAAATTGAAAATAAATAATGATAATGTTTTCTCTTTTTTACTATTAAGTATTTCTAACACATACAGAAAAAATACTTATGTTTTTATGTAAATAATTATAGTCTTTCTTATTTCTTTCTACAACTTGACACTTAATGGAATTTTGATTCTGATAAATTTTGTAGCCTTGAAGAAAAAATCTACATTTTTTTAGATTATTACTTATTACATATAAAATATACAGTTTTATTGTGCAAGTGGGTCCATATTTTCCTTAGTATTTATTTTTTGGCATATCATGTCATATTGATGGTTTTAGCACTTCCATTAGTTATGTCAATTAAAAGATTACTTTTGCAAGGTATGGCCAGGAAGTACAGCTGCTGTTTATAGAGTACTGTTCACTGTGGGGTATTAGGAGGGGCAGTCTGAATAATAAGTTAGACACTTTTTCAATAAATATCATATCTTACAGATGTATTTAAAAAAAGATGACTAATGTACAAAATTAAAAGTAAAATTAGATGGTTAGGATAGGTTATCTGAATATAGCAAAGTGCACAAGGGCTATCTGCATAACAAGAAGGATGTCGCCATGGAGGACTGTCTAAGAGTCCTTTTCTAAGGACTTTCCTCATGTTCATGTTACATATGGAAAAAAACATGAAAACCAATTATGCAGCCAGCCCACTTGCCTGGGATCAAACTCAGGTTGAACTTCTAGTATTCAATGGTCTTAACCACTTGGAGTTGATAGGTGTAAAAATGATTCAACTGCATAAAATGATCTGTGAAACAAAAAAGGAAGGGGGGAACAGAGGCAAAATTCATGTTTGAACCTATTACCATTTGTGAACAACACATATGAGAATTCCATAATACAGTAAACTCTCTCTAAAATAACTGTCATAGTTTGAAGATGATTTTAGTCTTCAAGCAGTGACGGTCATCTTTATGTTTATTTAATTGTCATAAATATTAGTCACTTTCAGAAGTGTCTCTGGGGTGATCATCATGAGAAGTTCAGATTAATTTGCTTTATTAAAAATAAGAATAATAATAGTTTTATACTTCTTTAGTATTGAAACATGTGTATAATTTTTACAGTGTAAAATAATACGAAGTAATGCAAATTTTAAAATGTCTGAAAAATGTCTAAACTGTAAACATAAAAATAGTATTATCATAATTAAAAAAAAAAGAAAGAGGAAAACTGAATTTCTGAAGGTGACAAGTTAGCTGTAAGGCATGCAGAAAAGCTCATTTCTTTAACTTCATTATAAGTAAGTGAATATAATCATCTTACTTAAATTATAGCATTAACAAAATTATAAACAACTGCAATTTAATGCTTTAAACATTTTCAACTTTGAAAAGTTACTGGTTGCATTCCAAATGAAGTCAGGCAAACATATATTCCATTTCCAGTGATTTAAAAAAAAAAAAATAAATAAAATAAAATAAAATAAATTTCAGCTTCGAATATATCATTACATGATAATTCAATTTCATGATTTAACTGATGATATAATGATATGTAGATGTAACTTGTAGTAATAATAATACATTATGAGTGTATCTGTATTTAAGAGATGCAGGTTTTAGATTCAGTTTCAATGGAAAATTATTTTACTCTAATGCATCTTGCTAATTCAGAAGATGTTAAGAGATGGTAAGTTCAAACTAAAAAAAAATTTGTTTTCAACAACTATATTAATAGGATTGAAAAGACTAACTGCTACATTACTTACTGTTGCAGACAATCTTTGCAAATATTTTAATTTTAAATTTGCTTTAAACAATACTTTTACTAATTGTTGTTGCATTAAATTAAAAAAAAATGCATAATTTGTTTTGTTTGAAATAATTAATATTTTTTATTGTTTATATTGCAGTATTTCTCACATAATTTATTAAAATTTCTTTTCTGTAGTGGCTGAAAGATTACGTGAAAAAAGTTAAAGATCTTAATATATTTGAAGATAAAGTTCCGAATCATGTATTAGTAAATGAGTATCTTCCTGGACAAGGTATCATGGTATGTACAATAGTATAAAAATAATTATAATCTGTAAATTATTAAAAGAATAGCATTCAGTTAATAGTGAAAAATTTTTTAATAAAAATTAAGCAACATTTTTATTTTTTGAGTGATCTTATTAAATTATAGCCATACTATACCTCCACACACAGTTTTAGATAATAATATGCATCTTTATGATGATAATTAATTTTATTGCATATGAATACAAGGTCTGTCCTGGAAGTAATGTCAGTAAGTCTATTAAAAAATTATTTATTGAATTTATCGTTAGAAGTGTTTAAAAATCTTCAAAATACTGTCTTTTTGCATTGATACATTGGCTTCAGTTGGACTTCAGCTCTTGAATACGCCACTGTAGCCCTCCTCCTCCCTCCTTTAATGCTGTGGTGCAAGCTGCTTTGACCCCATCCACTGTTCCAAAATGCTTGCCTTTTAAGGCATGGAAACAGAAAAAAGTCGGGAAGGGGGGCAGCCAAGTCCGGGCCGTACAGGGGCTGGGGGATCATTGACACCCCTGCTTTGACCAGGTAGTCGGTGACCATGAAGGCACTGTGGGCCGACGCATTATCATGGTACAACTTCCAGTTGTCTGCAATGTCCGGCCGGATGTGTTGAACCCTGCGTTTCAATCTTTTGAGGAATTCCACATAAAATTTGGGGTTCACAGTGGTTCCAGGTTCTACAAACTCATGATGAACCAGTCCGTGGATGTCAAAAAACACAAGGAGCATGATCTTGATCTTTGATTTGCTCATCCTAGCTTTCTTCGGGCGAGGGGATGAGGGTATGTGCCACTCCAATGACTGCCTTTTGGTCTCCAAGTCATATTCAAATACCCAAGTCTCGTCACCTGTAATGATGTTGTCCAAAAATTTTTGATGACGTTTGCTCATGTCGAGGTTTTTCTGGCACGTTTCAACGCATCGTGACTTTTGGTCATCAGTGAGCACTTTTAGTACCATTTTTGTGTACACCTTCTGCATGCCAATATGGTTCGTAACGATTTCATGGACTTGAGCTTTCGGAATGTTTAACATGTTGGCCATTAAACGAACACTTAATCATCTGTCCGAATTCAACAGTTTCTTCATTTTTCTTGAATCTTGGATATCAAAATAATCGGTCCCATCCCCAAGTGCCGGCATTTTAGCAAGTCCCAAGTCTGTTCTTTGATTTACGACAATTCCACTGTGTGCTTTTACCCAGTGTAATTTAACAATATGTTTTCTTTCAGCCTTTTTAAACAAGTCTTTTATTTCATTAATCAGTAGATTTTTATGACCTGATTGGGGCGAGTGCCTGAAGTGAAGATAGGGCATCAGTATAAATATTCGAATTTTTGTGCAAGTGTTGGAATTTGATAGTGGGCAGGATTGTTGCCTATCGAGTGTGTGGATTATAATTCCGTGATATCACCCATCGCACTGGTCGACATCCAACCACTGTCATGTGAATATGGAATCGAGGGTTTGAGGAAGGTAATACTGAATGGCATGCAGAGTCTCAACACCCTCCCATGACTAATGTTCGAGAGGACAGACATATTGCGAGGTCAGCCTGCAAAACAATATCACCTTCTATTAGTCAGGAAATGGGCATGTTTGCAATATGCCCAGTATCAGCTCGTATGGTGCGTTGACATTTGCAGCAGCATGGACTATCAGCACGTCGACCATATTTCGCCTTCCCTTGACAATGCAACTCCGAGAGAGACGGCGACTCTGGTGTGCCAAAGGACAAAGTTGGATACAGGAGTGACACATTTTCATCATTTCTCATAAACATGTGATCGGTATCTCTAATTGATCGAACTAACATACTGAAAGCATTCAATTTATGAAACTACCCTTAAAGGGAGAGAAAGACTTTGTGTGCAAAGGTGAAGGGACAGCTTAAATGTTTTTGTGTGTTTATGTGCCGTGTTATTCTTTTTAGTTTACTAACCTAATTTTTTTTTCTTTTTCTTGTTAAGCTGCTAAATTGATTTTGTTTTATTTGGACATGGCCAGCTCGTGTCGTTTGTTGTTGCAAGGGTTGCGCCCGCTTTCCTTCATAAGGCTCAACAAACCAGGCGGAAGGGCTGCACCCGTATAAAAAACAAAACAAAACAGGAGTGACACAATGTCGTCTTTTCAGACGAGTCTCGGTTCTTTGTGTAATATTCTGATGGCCATATACATGTCTGGAGGCTCCAAGGAGACCGCACATCACCTTCTTGCATCATATCAGCCTGGGGGCCCTGTACCTGGTATGATGGTTTGAGCAGTCATTGGGTACATGATGTGCACATTTGATTTTGTTTGTTGTTGAGTTTGGATTGACCATAATTTGAACGCAGCTTGGTAAATTTCCGGTTTTTTACTTTCTGTGGTTGTGCCCTATATTTGAGGCCTACCAAACACTATCTTCCAACAAGATAGTGCAAGACCAAATGTTGTACATCGTGTTCTGACCTTCCTCCGATACACATGGATACTCAGTTGTTACCCTGGCCTGTATGGTCTCCAGATCTGTCACCCATTGAAAACATCTGGTCATGGGTTGCTGAGAGACTGGCCTGCCACCTCTCTAATGCAGTTGAAGAAGTGGGGCATAGACTTGAAGCAGCATGGAATGAGTTGCCCGTTTCCTGTCATCCAAGCCCTAACTGAGTAAAGGCTGTTTTAGCTGCCAGTTATGGCAGCTGTTTCTACTAATTTTGCACTTCTCTAAACCCCCAAACTGCCTATAAATTTAAATATTTTGTCTTCATGCCATACTGTTTTATGTACAATAAATATCTTTTTTGTATTTGCTTTCCTTCATGGTGTTGCAAATTTAATGGCCAGCAGTGTATTTTATTTTTCCATTTTGTAATTAATTCTTAATTAGTTTCAAAACTTTTTTCTTGTTGAGTAAAGAAGGTCGGTGATAATAATTAGGAATATTAATTCATAAATAAGCTAATTTTTAAATATATATAATATATACCTTTTAAAAATCTTTTCATTTACTGATATTGAAAATATTAAAAAATAATAACTACCTAGTTTGTCTGATAAGAATTTTACTGATTTTGTCCAAGATAATGAACAAAACTGTAATATAATATTTATAGTACCTTAAAATCAATGCAAAGTTTTTTTCAATAATATTATAAAATATTGGTTAAATTCACAGAGTTACGGTTCAGTCTGAAACATATATAAACTATATAAATTCTAAACTATACAAATCAACAAATCTAATTAACCTAAATGGATGAGAAAAGCAGCAAAAATTATATCTGAAGTAATAGTAATGTGTATATATTATGCAAGTTATTTTTATTGTATGATTAAAATGAAAGTACAGAGCAAATTTCTGTAAATAACATGGATCTAATTTTATATTTTATTTCAGCCTCATGAAGATGGACCTCTCTTTTATCCTACAATTGCAACAATTAATCTTGGATCACATACTATATTAGATTATTATGAGAAAATTAATGTTTTAGAACATTCTAAGACAGTAAGTTCTAAATTTTATATTTTCTGCTCTTAAAAGGGAGAAAATCTTTTATATTAATACTTTTTATTTTTTCACATGATTTAAAAATATGAACATCATTTATTTAATTATTATTACTTTTTTGTACTTTGCTTCATGTAGAGTTTAATATTTCTAGAAGACACTAACCTAATCAGTATATTGGTTAGTTGAATTGGCTGTTATATGCTGCGTTCAGGTTTGAATCCTGGAAAAGGCATGGTTGTCTGTAGATTGCCATGATTGTAGTTGTCTTTCTTTCCTTATGAGGAAAATGTTGGCCATCTCATGTGGTGCATCTTCATTAGCATTAGTATCTTGAGTAATATTTTTGGTGATGATAATGATAGAACTACTAGATAAATTTGATATGGTGAAGACGCGGCAGTTAATACAGGTCTTAATTTTTGTCCTAGCATTTTTTAAGTAAACTTATGAAACATAAAATTTCTACTTTATATTACATTTTGTTTTTAAGTTGAATATTCTTCATTCTAATCTAAAATTAATAAATGTGTGCAATAAATCTTTCTTTTGAAATGCACTTTATCCAAACTAAAGGCTATTTATATGATTGTCGTATAATACAGATGAAGCATAAAACTTCACAACCGCAAAAGTCAAACTTATTCTTTAGCCATTAATGTTCAAATCAAAATTTTTATCAACCAATACTAATAAGGTAATATTATCCCCTGTACTGAGAAATAAGATAACTTCATCATTGTTAATCTAACATCAGTAACATAATCTTCAGTCATTATCATCACTCTTAAAAAAATAGGTAGATCATTTTGAAATGTAACATCTGTTTGTATTTATGCTTTTACGAATTAGAGCATAATAATTACGAGCACAAATTACGGCATCTAAAATGACGATAAATAAAAGTAACTAATTTTTTACGCGAGTGTCACTTCCAGGTCATAATAATAATTACCCTCAGTTTAATGTGAGAATTTCAGATTGCTTACTGATTAATTAAAAAAGACTTATACCATTTCCGTTAATTTTTCTTGTGCTCAAATTGCCCCAAACTCTTTATAAGCTATTTTCTCCCTCCCTACTGCATGCCAACTCTTTGAAGGCTTATAAAATGAATGGCTTTTAAGTATAAAGAATTTTTTTAAGAAATAAAAGTACCCAATGAAATAAGGTTTAATAATTTAATAATTTTACATCAGTAGAATTTAAAAAATGAATACCTATATCAACACATAACTGTAGTTTAAAAAATGACTTGTAGATTGTTACTTATTTTTTTCTAGGAAACAGAAAGCAATTATGTTGGATCATTGCTTTTAGAAAGGTGCAGTCTTCTTGTAGTTCAGCATGATTTATATCACAAGTACCTTCATGGAATACAGGAGAGAGAAGTGGATATAATTAATAACAAAATAAAGAATTTAAATGCTTGTAATAATCCAGTTGGATGTGAACTAAAAAGAAACACAAGAATTTCATTAACTATAAGACATGTACCACATACTGTCAAAGCAAAGTTTATATTTGGAGTAAGATAATAAATATTACATATATTGTTTCATTGATTTTAATTCATTAGTCACTTTATTCCTCATATATATCATTTTACATGTGTTTGTTTTAAATCTTCCATATCTCTTACATACTTGTTTATGCATAGTTCACATTTGACTGAATGTTGCAGTCAACTGATATAATGTTACCAGTTCTTTTTTACTTCCTTGTACAAAGTAAAAAGGAAGTATTGTCATTGCGAAAAGTTTCAGGCATCATATTTCAATGAAAATACCCATTTTCACCGCTATCGAATGCAATTTAACAAACTTTTTGCATGACATCTGTACGTAAGGACTCTTTTTCCCCCCCAAAATTATAAGACTGATTTAAAATGAATTCTAAAGAGAATTTTTTGTGGCGTCTGTGCGTACATACGTATCTTGTATAATTCGAAAACGAGTAGCTTCAAATTTAAGACCCAATAAACACGCGGAACAAATACTAATTCAGAAGTCAAACAACAAAAATCAGTGTTATATTTTCAAAATTTTCACAGGACTAGTTTCGATGGTTTTACCGAACCACCATCCTCAGGTGCAAAACCGCACCCATTTGCAGTTTTGCAGCTAACAAAGAATCTTGTGCTCAGATGCTTCTTAATGTTTAAGGACCATTGTTCCCAAATGGGAACATCATATTTAAAAAATTACCAAAATTTCAAATTTATTAATTGAACTTAACTAATATTTTAACACATAAAATGATTTTTTGAAATAAAACTGGAGGGCTGATCTTACTTTGTTTATTCACAAAATATGCAAAAAAAAAAAAAAAAAATATTTTCCGCTATACTAGATGTGTTGTGTCGTGTAATTTTTTTTAATTAACAAGTAAAATTTAATTGTCTTGCAATAATTTAAATCCACCCAAGAGGGACTCCTCTGTGGCAGCTATAATGTGATTATCATTAGCATTACGGTATACAAACACCCAAAATTTGCTCATGACCTTTTTCTTCTGACTTTGGCCGATCGCTCCATGCCATTTCGCGAACTGGATGGCCAAACCCCGAAATCAAGAAAAGATCGGACATTGGCCGGTCATTGTGAGGCGATATTGGCTGTTTTGCGATTTGGTCGGTTAATTCGGGAACTGGCAGACTTTGGGCTTTGGCTGTAACATTAACATACATACTTGTACATGAAATATTCAAATTATGAATATGAAATATTTTTCCTAATGGACCAAAGATTATTACGAATTTCTTTTCTTATGGATATGTGTGTACACACACATGCACTTAAACATTTACAGTATTAAGCTCAAGTTTGATTAAGTAACAATCTCATTAAAATGCTTATTGAGAACATGTGACAACAAAATGTGTAAATAGAAAATAAGGTTAGTTTGTCATATTTAATTACTATCAACAAAATTCAATAGTTTTATGGTAACTAAAACAGTGCTTAAGAATTTTAAGAACACTCTTATTAACATTAGCATATTAATATAGTAGATTAATTTCGCATTTACAAATTCTCTAATATGATACTTAAAAGATTACATTCCTTCTCATCCCCCTTTTTTTAATTATAAAAAGAAAAATTCAAGTTGAAAAAAGGTAAGAAGAGTATAGAATTTGGAAAAATGTTTGGAATTTAAGAAAATTTAGAAAAGTACGACAAGGTAAAAAAATTAAATACACAGCCATTTAAAACATCATGAATTATTGCTACCATATTTATAAATTTCACAAATATACCCCCTCCTAAAAATACAGGAAAAGATGCTTAACATAAAAAAGGTGGAAAAACAGAAAAGAAAATAAATAATATTTCTACTTACCCAAATAAAGATCTGTAATTAACTTTAAGTTAACATTCTTGGGGTTAATTCTCATGTTATGCATACATATGAGTTTTAATTACTGAATTTTCTCATATAATTAAATTCCTGTTTATCCATGCATTGCCCTTCAAAACAGTTCTTAGACTTTGATATTCAAATCTAAAGAAGACGAAAGTACTACAGTACAAAGTCCGAAATCCGGACTGGTCGGGACTTCGGCGATTCTGGATTTGGGATTTTTCCGGATAACAGATCATCAATTTAAATCTGGTAATACAGAAATTATACAATTAAAAATATGAAATCGTAATTTATGAAATAAAGAACAAATATGATCTAAAAGGTATCAAAATTTACAAAAAAAAAGCTTAATATTTATTTGTTTACTTTATTAAACATTTCTTTCAATGCAAGTTGTTTGAGATGCTACGACAAAAAATTCAGAAGGTTCCTTTTTGTTGTGTCATATACAGTGGACTTTCCAATGCCATACTCCTTGCATAATTTTGAGACGGATATGGCTTTATCCATTTTTTTTTGCAGCAATTCCACCTTTTGTTTAATGGATATCGAAACATGGTTTTGCTTTGTAGATCCTTTGGCAACTCCAGAATTGAAAGTTCAAGCTTAGTTTTTATAAACTTGCCATAATAATAACAATCTACAAAAAATAATAAGCTCGATCAAATTAGAAAACCAGGGAGCAGCACAGTCTCTTACATTAATTGAAATGCCTTAGAATCAGTAAAGTTAATTTTAGCCTAGTTTAATAGCGTCCATTATACATTATTGGTGTTGTATCACAAGATTGGCAACAAAAGCCAAGTTGTTTCGCTAAATCTTGTCTTGCTCCTATTACATACTGAATAAGGCCTGAATTGTATTAGTTTAGTTATTTACTATACCTACGTTTATTTCTTGCATATGCTTCAAACTAATCCGAGTCCTAGATGAATAAACTCCCACATATACTTAAGGCTTTATCTAGGTCCGGCACTCGATACCGCCTGGTGCAATCTCTATGGGTCCTAAATTCTGCTACAAAGCTCTTTCCTAAGTTCTAAATTTTCACCGTGCCTAAACTTTGGATCCCATTGCTTTCCCTAAATCATAAAAACTTCTCATCCCTTAATTTTGCCGCTCAGTGCTTCCCCAAATTCCAAAAATTTAGTCTTCCCTAAATTCTGCCGTCCAGTGCTGGCATATTCTGCTGCCGCTTCTGGGTTTATGGTGAATAACATATCAATTATTCTTAATTAAAATAGCACCAAATGTAATCTTTTGGCCTATGAGTTTCATTAACAAAAATCTATTTTTAGCATATGAAAAGAAATTTTTGTTGAATTTTTCATCATCAACATTCATCATTCGTTGAATTTTTCATTGTCAACATTTCTTAGAGCATTTAAAAATCTATAATCATCGCCAAGTGTAATGTTAGCATAAAAGGTTGCCATACTCTTGTTATTAAATTACTAATATAAAAAAAGTTTAGACATCACAGCATGAGTTATTACTTTTTGGATCATAGGCACTCTGTAACTTTTAATCATTGGCATTGGCATGAGTTATTACTGAAACTGTCACGTACTGATAACATGCGGTCATGAAAGCAAATTATAATAAATAATGACTCGCCAGGTCGTCGTCAGGGATATAAAATAGGTGAATGTTTCGGTTTGAGATGTATGCCAAGTAGATACTCAGCTACGAAGCCAAATTATTAATCTCACAAATTTATGCTTACAAGATTGTCCATAATGAGGTATTTTATTTAGTGCCTAAGTGAAATTAAGAATCGGAATTTTTAAGTGAAAATCTCCACATGTTTTATTATGGAAAGAAAAATCAAGTGCGCATGTGTAAAGCATTAATAAAAGAAAAAAATGTTTGTGGCTTTGCGGTCTGGATTTTAGATCATTCCGGATAATGGACGTCCGGATTTCAGACTTTGTACTGTATAATCTTTTTGAAAGAACTCAACACTTTTGATGCATTGAGGCTTATAATGAAGTTAAAATATTGCTAGTTCTTGTTTGAAAAAGCTGATGACTGGTAGCAGGAAGCTCATAAGTTATGATGAGAAATAAACAGGTCTTGTTGAAATTATTTATATGATTTGAAGGTTTGAAAATATGTAAGTGAAGAAAATGTGAAAATTATGAAGGATATAGGATTTTATCCTACTGAGATATTCATGATATAATAACTCAAGAACAGTCGATAGAAAAGTAGAAAGAAGAAAACAAAATTAAAGGTGAAATAGCAGGTTCACCATTAGAATGTATAAATATGTACACAAGATATTAGGGGAGAGTGTAGAATCGCCCACTGCTTGGCGCGTTTTTAAGAATTGCACATACTCGGTATCCATGTACACGTCAACCTATTTTCACTTAAAAAAACATCCCAGAATTGCACAAAAATTGCATTGCACACACTCTTGACTTTATCTATGTACACATCGACCTATTTTTACTTAAAAAAGTCAAAGAAAATTGACAAAAATCCAATTCTTCTTACTCTTGTAAAAAGCACCAAACAAATAAGTGGGCGATTCTGCACTTTAGCCAGATACTAACTTAAGTAGGTGAATTAATTAAGTTTCAGTTTAATGACATACACAGCTTTGCACAGTGTTTGTCATATTGCCTGAAGAAATGCCAGTATAATATTAAAAAAAAAAAAAAGAGTAGAAATATATGATATGTACATTTTTTCACAGAAAGAAAAATGAATAGCAATAAAAAATTTTAGTATGACTAAGTTTTATTCTAAACAGTGTATTGTGTATATGAATTTTATATAAAAATTTCACTATTATGTAGTAAAAGCTTAGTGCTTTCCCAAATAATGAATGTCAGTCCTCAAAAGAATTGATAATATATACACAGGATGGCACAAAAATTTTCACATGCAAGATGATGCAATGACTGATATGCAACAAAGCTTACCTGTAAAAAGAATACAGAAAGAGTATTGTTAATTAACCATGAATGAAGACACACCTAGGACAATGTAATGAGTTGTATGCAACAAACCAGATGTTAAAAATATTCAAATTTTTTATATTAACATTCTAGAAGGAAATATTCAATTTTATGTAACTGCTATTAATTATGTAAATAATAAATAAATAAAAAATGCAACATATTCATAAATTTAAGGAGAAAATGCACTTTAAACAATGTTTGTTTAAGATGTACCATTTACTCAATAAATACTTGGTCACAAACAGCAATGCAAGTGTGAAAAAGTGCTTTTTTTTTTTTTTTTTTTTTTTTTTTTTTTTTTTTCTCTCGTGGTGATCAATCAGTAATATTCTCAACTAGTTTTTATTGTCTGTTTCTATGACAACGATTTTTGACACGTAATCACATGTTTATTTGACGATTATTCGGCTCTCTATTTTTATCGCTTAATGTATACATTATGGATGACTCTGTATGGATTACTATTATTTTGGATGACTATTTAATATCTAATTAATAAAGAACTCTACCACTTGAGCATTCAGAAATGTAGCAGTTCTGAGTGCTCAAGTTAAATAGATAAAAAAAATGTGCAAGTTAAAGTTACTTACATTGTTTTATTCTTTTGCCAAAATACCTTCTATTGCAAAATAAAGAAGGAAAGAAATACCGAGCTCTTATCCAAAATACTAGAATCATACCATAATATTACAGGTTGATGGCAGATGATATCCAGGTGGTTTTTTACTTTATGGGAGAGTAATACCTTTTAAACAAAATTAGAACAACATAGATATATTAACTAGAACATTATCAGGCTGAGAACATTAACATGTATTTGGAACATGCTATGGAATAAATGTGATCTTTTAGTGGGTCATCTGGACAATTCTAACAAAGATTTTTTTTTTATTATAGCATTACTACAGGGTGATCAGCGAATAAGCCCTGATTTCAAAATTAAATATCTCTACAACAAAGATTGATAGAATTATGCGGTAAACTGTATGTTTATTAGCAAAACTGTAAAAATGGTGTAAAAAGTTTAGAAAATTTAGTTACGAAAATCATTAACAGATGGCGCTCTGCGCTAAAAACTCTTTCCCTGAAAGGAGTCCCCCCCCCAAAAAAAAAGAGAAAAAGAAGAAGAAAACAATAAAGTGAAGCAGCCTTTGCAATCAAAATACAATTTTTTCAAAACGTTCACCATTTGAAACAATGAGGTGGCATAAATGAACAATGAAATTTGACATAATGTCTTGCAATGTCTCAGCGGAAATGGAATCACATGCAACACCAATCAACGATTCAAGCTCATCTAGAGTAGTGGGATTGTTTTGATAGAGTGTTTTTCAATGCACCCCACAATGCCACTTGTGACTTTGTGGAAATTACAAAGTCACAAGTACTCAGATCGGGAGAATATGGAGGCCAAGCTATTCCTGTGTCAGTAAATTGTGGATAATCTAATGCAATTTCTCTATTCCCAAAGTATTCATGAAGAAAGCGAAAAACTTTATCTGTTCGATGTGGTCGAACCCCCTCTTGCATGAACCAGTCAGTCGATACCTGGTCGATCATCCAATGCTATTTGAGCGCTGACAAATTGTTCCAAAATTGTAACGTAACGTTCAGTAGTTATCATTTCTCGTACGAAAAAAGGTCTGATAATGCCTCTGGTGCATACCGCAGTCCATGCAGTAACTTTAGGCGAATGCAGTGCTTTCTCTTCACACAAATGTGGATTTTCGGAACCCCATAATCTCCAGTTTTGTTTATTAACGATTCCATTCAAATGGAAATGTATCTCATCTGCGAACCAGATGCAGCTCACATCAAATCTGTTGTTGCCGATCATTGTTAGAATCTGATTCACAAAGTCAATCCCTTGTTGCACAGCTTTCATGGGAAACTTTGGCTGCATTTTCAGGAGTGACTACAGTTTACCTAGGCCCAACATTTCCCTTTCGGCCATGCTGCCAGTCCGTTCAAATTTCGTGAAGAGCAAGCGAATGGTTTTCGCATCGGGTCCAAGTGGAACATTGAATTGGTTTTGAAAACTGCGACGTGTTGCCGTAGATCTGTGTTCTAATCGGTGAAATTCCAGAACCAAAAAAAAAACACGTTCAATGGAATACATCATTTCACTTTCTACGCTAGCCTCTTTTCACTAGCCAACAGTCGTACTGATCATGTTCGACTTTGAAGCACATTTTAAAGGCTATTGAAAGGTCACTGCGATTAGAGCGCCATCTGTTAACGATTTTCGTAACTAAATTTTCTAAACTTTTGTACACCAATTTTACAGATTTGCTAATAAACATAAAGTTTACTGCATAATTCTATGGATCTTGTAGAGATATTCAATTTTGAAATCAGGGCTTATTCGCTGATCACCCTGTATGTACTCTCCACTTCTTATGTAATGGAGCTTCTTTATTTTTTTAAGAATCGGATGCTGAAACTCGAGCAAGCGTAACTGGCTGTATTCAAATTCATTCTGACAGCTTATATACCTATTCTTTTTCAAATGATCATGTACTGTTCTGATTAGAATATTTAGTCTGTTTGATAATTCTTGAACTGAATAATGATAAGAATAAGCTTTTTAGTAACAGCTTCTTTTATTAAGTCCTAATTTGAAGATGATCATTCAAAGTAAGCATTGTCCTGGAGGTTCAAATTTCCATATTTAAACTTTCAAAACACTAATGAACTGTGTAATCAGAAACAACACTAGCCATATATTACAAAAATTTCATGAGCAGTATGACAAGTGTTTTTTACCTTTTTTTAAAAAATAGAAGAGTATAATATAATGTTCGGGTTCTCTGTTCTCAGTACTGGAACGAAGCAAAAATTATGCCACAACACATGGTAGAATTACACAATGTGAGCAGAAAAGACTATATTTAAACATCCATTTTTTATCAAGCAAGAACAAGATTAACATTATCAGCAGTATGGAGATAATTAGAAGAAAATGTGCATCGAAGAGACTACAGACGCTTTTCAACAAAATCGCTGAACTTTCTGGATGACTCAGTAGATATTCAAATACATGTTAGTTGTAATACTGTCTTTCAGAATACTAAAAGACTAATCTAATGATTATCATTTTGCTCCCCAATTGATCACAAACTATCTCTATGATTCTAGTTAAAATCAGCTGATGCACTTCCATTCATGCATAGATTCTATTGGTAAGAAAAAGAAAGAAAGGTGATTTCAGAGATAAAACTATAGATTACCAGTCACTGAGACTTTAGTTTTCTCTCTGCATGAATCATAGCATGAGATTCTTTGCATGAATCAGTGCTTTTTGTGATATTAAAAGATTAAATGTGGTTTATGCATACTAATAGAATAAAACTGTGGTTAACAGTTATTCTGTATTGTCAAGTTCTAGTGAACTATTCCACATAAATGTAAATCCTCTATACAGCCTTTTATTTACATTATTTTATTGGCTTGGGTTTATTTATATTTAGCAAAACCTTTTTTGTTATACTTTATCCATATTCATTAAGCGTAATCTCTTATAGTCCATAGTTCTTTCATTTTGAAATAACAAAGCTTCTTTCTCATATTTTTGGCCATAGTTTTCATTGTTTCTGTGACTCATCAGCTGTTATACAAATTGGGGCTTCTGTTAACATGCTTCAACTATTGTCTCTTTTTGTAAATTACTTAGATCAAACATTATAAGAATCACTTCCATATCTTATTGCTAATACATGCAACTAAGAGTTTATAGCCAGCATAATTACTGCATATTTAATAGCATACTTGCAATATTAGGTTTAACAATTAATTTCCTTCATTTCTACCTCCTCTTTGCTAGGTGCATCCATTATTTCATCTAACACTCATACACAGATGTTCTCAAGAAATATCCCTTAAATATTCAGATTTCAAAATCAGGAGATGCTATCTTATCAAAAAATAGCTGTTACCCATCATGTGTTACAATACTACTTAAAGAAAAGGAAGTGTTTTAATTCTGTTTATTGAAGTGCTTTTGGATATGCAATATTTTTTGCTTTTCCATCTGGCACGTACACAAATAAATCAGAAGGTTTCCTGATGTGTGATCAGGCCACTTATAGCTGCCCATGTGAAAAACATTGATTTTCTAAATTTAATCCACAAACTTGTAGCAATTGTCTCTGTGCTTTGTTGATGGTCATTCCAAATGTGAGTCATACTAGAAACTGCAAACACTTAAATTCGAATGGCATATCTGTCAGAATCATTGGGATACATGACACTGAATGATGTCACTTGGAAACATGAATTGTACTTGCATATGTTTGCCAAGAAATGTTTTGATTGGCTTGTGTTATCTGATACCAAGGTTGATAATGGTCCATGTGGTGAATTTAATTATGGCAATTTCACTTTTTCACCTGCACAGCACATTACTGATGCTTCATTCTTAAATTTGAGAGCTCTGCAATACATGCATAATTTATCCATTTTTTGAACAACCACACTTGGATAAAGACGGTAATTACAATTAGTATTGTAACTGCATGCACCACGATTTAATCAGCATGTTCATTTGCATTGAGCAATGCATACTCTAATGTTTCTCAGCCTTGCTTCTTGTTGCTCATCTGTTTCACAAGAACAGGCTTGAGCAGCATGTACTCGAACATATTCCAGTCTTGTTTCCAATTGCTTATTTGTTTCTTGATGCCTTTTCTTTCATGCTTGAGGTGTAGATCAAGCAATCGATTTTAGTTTTGGTGGTATAATTGATTTCACAGCGATGATGTGTGATGTGATGCCTACTACAAATTCTCTTTCAAAATGCAGAGAAAATATGTGTGATGCAATAATACACATGTTAATGTGTATATGTTAATGCATGAAAAATTAAATATTTTACACTTTGTTGAACAATAACATACTTTATTTTAATTTGGGCAATGGCAACACATTTCTCTTAAATAGCAGAGTTTGAAATAGCAGAGTTTGTTTATTGAATTCAAGAAAAATTAATATACTTTCATTTTCTCAAGTGGCAACACAATTTTTTTTATACCGCCAATTTCTCTGATGAAATCTGAAATATATACATTTTACGCTTTGCAGAATGGCAATGCAAAACTTTTCAATCCCTGAGTTTTTAATCAAAAATTCATTAAATTAGCATAAAAAATAGATGTATATAAAGAGTGCAGGCCCCCACAGGCTGGTTTTTAAGAAATCTTATGTAGATAGTGGACTTCCTCTTGTTTTGAAGGTTGAGTGTGGCAAGTTTCATGAAGACTGAAATTAAACTGCAGATTTGTATAAATGGCAAACAAACATTCATTTATATATATAAATAGATTGCTATCTGTAGAGTTAAAATTCTAAATGACAATTTTGATAATATTTTAGTTTTCAATTCTCTATAAAAATTATTTAATAGATTTAATATACTGGGTAAATCCATGGAAATTTTTATTAAAAATATTTAGCATAATATTAATTCAAATTTATCATAAATCTTGAAGAAGGCCCGAGATCCAAAAACTCAGCTTTTTAAAATTTTTTTCCACATCATTTGAATTTTTCAAATCCTGACTTAAAAAGTCATTAAATGTTTTAATTCAGAACTTCAGGAAGATTGATTTTATTCATACCCAATGAAAGTTTCATCAAAAAAAGAATACAACTGTTTCACTTTCAACTTCATACCTAAATTATTAGCATAGTTTCATGGCCCTGAATGCAACATTTCAAGTATCCTTTCATGAACTTCTAAAATACACAAATATTTTACCTTTCTTCCTTTTTCTGGAGATAATTTAGTATTCCATGCTTAATACTTAAATTAATAAAATTTTAAATTAAAAAAATAAAATTTTTTAATTAATTAAAGTTACTAATTAATTAGTTAAAAACAATCTAGAAAATTATAAAATATTTACAAAAAAAATTCCCAAATTAAGTTGAGATGAATTAACTTCAATTTTCAAGAGTTTTAATTATGCATTTCATCTATTAACTTTAATTTGTATCTTCTTAATAAATATAGATGTACTAGTTTGACTAGACTGAAGAATACTCCTTGTATTATCACGAAGTTGTTGTTTCGTTTATCGCCAAGTTGTTGTTTCATTTATGGTAACTTGAACAGTTGAATGTTCCGTAAAAATACTTTTTACCTAGAATTGTGTGCTCCTTTGACTTTTTAAGTGAAAAATATCAATGTGTACATGGACAAAGTCAAAGGAGTGCGCAATACCAAGTTTGTGCAATTCTCTGATGTTTTTTTAAATGAAAATAGGTCGACATGTACATGGATAAAGTCAGGGGAGTATGTAATGCCTAGTTTGTGCAATTCTGCGATTTTTTTTTAAAGTGAAAATAGGTCAATGTGTACATGGATACCAAGTTTGTGCAATTCTGCGATTTTTTTTTTTTTAGTGAAAATAGGTCAATGTGTACATGGATACCGAGTTTGTGCAATTCTTTGATTTGTTATTTTGTCTTTGTGTAGTGGCAATGTTTCCGCTGCTACACAAAGACAAAATAACAAGTCAAAGAATTGCACAAACTCGGTATCCATGTGCCACCAAAAATCGTCAATTTTCGCCAAGGGGTACCCGTTAATATACTTTTACCAAAGGTATTTTTTAAAAACTATATTTTAAAATTTGTTTTCAATTTGATGCACTTTTAAAAATTTTCCTGTAACTATATACTTTTATTGCTAAATGAAGATTTTATTCTTTTCTTTGTATTATTATTCTTATGCAGAATTTGAGATACAAAAGATTTCAAAGACTGAACTACGATCTGGATTTAGATTCAAGAAAATTTAGTATTTGTCTCACATGTAATTTAAATCAACAACAAAGAACGTAAAAAAATAACAGATTACTTACCAAAATGATTTTATACCCACTAAAAAATATTTAAATCTAAGTCATCGTATCTTTTTAGATATACTTTTAAAAGGAAATTTTTTCCTTAAAACCTCATTTTCATCGGCTTCTTCCTTAGGTGGACTATAAAGATACTTCAAACTAACCAGCAACCATATTAGTGTCAATGCTGAAAAAGTAAATTTTAAAATTTATATTAAAAGAATTAAAATTACATAAAGTTTCATTCTAAATAATTATACCTCTTACTGCAACTACAGTTTAAATTACATGATCATTAACATGAATTGTATTTTTAAACTATGTTTGGTATTACTAGTTGAAAATTTGTAAAATTAAAAAAAAAATTAAGATTTAATTTGCATGTTAGTAAGACAGAAAAATACTTCGTACACCTAATTTATTTTTTGTTGCTAACTGAAAAAATAGTTTTATTATTTTATAATACTGATAGCATAAAAACATGGAGTAATTTAGAATATGGCAGGATATATGTAAATACACATATATGTAATATACACATAAAGCATAATAATAATTAAAATTTTTATCTTCAAATTTATTTGTTCTAATCAAATAAGGAGTAATTTAGAATATGGAACAAAATGAGTTAAGAGACAACACTGTGCTGGAAAAATAAGATTACAGGATGGTAAGTCTATTTAACATTGATAAAATGACTATGTAGCTAAATTGGCGAGATATTGCCAAGCTGGAGATGTTTTTGGCAACTAAATTTTGTTGGCAAACTTGGAAATCATTTGGCAACATTTTGGTTTGGTCCCTGTATCACGATAATAAATATTCTGATTCAATACGTGTAATTGATCCTATGTGTAACTGTGACTGTATCCAAGGCTATGAGTTCAAAGTATTGAGATATCTCTGCGTCAGCTTCATTCTTTTAGATGCAAATTGCACTGTATTGCGTTTAATGTTCTCAGTAGTTTGAAGTGTAATTACTGATTGTAGTCTGTGATACTATGAAGAAACTCTACGGATATTTTTGTGGAAAGTGTTTCTTTTAGTAAAATAAATTTCATTGAGCTATCATCAAATCTGTGTGCATTCAATCTATTTCAAATCTGTATGCATACAACAATATTATTAGATGCACAAAACAAAATACGTAATCATACTTTTTATCTTCACCAAGCTTATTTGTTCTAGTCAGCATTAATCAACCAAAATGTACATACTTTAACAAACATCAAAGAAATACTATAATAAAGGCAAATGTAATAATTAGTTTCCTATTATTATTTACTTAACTGCACTTGTTAAAGACTGTTTTTTGTGTATGACAATTTCTTGTAATATTGAATTTTTAAAAAATGCAGAATTTTTATATTGTCAAAGAAGTTAGGATTAAGTTATCTTGGATTAGAATTAATGTACTGTTACAGAACAAATGAATGTCATATTAGCTAGGATTTTTACATTTCATTATTCAAAAATGGATGATCTTTTATAACGTGTTTTAGACAAGGTTAATAAAAATACTACCATAAAGGAGGAGGAAAACTTACCACTTAGTGCACATGGATAAATAGTTGGACCATGGATTAATACTGTTTTATGAAAGAATGCTTCCATGCCAAAGAAACATAAATAAATGACTATCACACATATTGCTAAAGCGATGATCCTATAAAATGAATATTCTTTATAAAGAACAGAAAATAATCTGTACAATGCAGTACTTTTTAATCATCCATACCCCTATTTTCAACATAAACTGCCATCTTTTCAAATATATACATGACAATAATAACATGTCCATATCATACATATGAATTTACATGCTGAGTGACATCAAATGAAATGAATGACGAGAAGCTATTGATTTTTCATTGGGGTATGGATAACCAAAAAGTACCATTTTATTACATAAATGGCTTTTTAAATATCTATACCAGGTATCGGCAACCTATGAGCCACAGGTCACCGAGTGACCCATTTCATAGTTTCAAGTGACCCACTTGATTTTCAGAAATGAAGTATAATATATAAATATGAAATAAACACTTGAAGAATATATAAAAGAATAAACCAAAATAAAAAATAACAATAACATTTTTGTTTGATTACAAAGTTGTTATGTTATAAAACATAAATATGAAATAAACACTTGAAGAATATATAAAAGAATAAACCAAAATAAATAATAACAATAACATTTTTCTTTGATTACAAAGTTGTAACAAACATGAATTTTTATTTTTAAAAATTAAAAATCAGAACGTAATTTTATGGAAAAATTCATACATTGGCAATGCTGTTCCATAGTCCATAATTCTAAAACATAAATCTTTGCATTTTGTTTGCATTCGATTCAACTTAAAAATGTGAGCAAATATTTTCACACATGAAATTTATTTTAAGTAAAAACAGGAGTAGCTTAATTATCAAAAGTTCAGATACTTAAGATGAATAGGCCAGACTTGAATAAACTGATGTCACAAACTGAGCATCAGGAGAGCCATTGATATTAAAGAGAAAAATTAAGTTATACTATTTGCTTTTATATTAATCAAAATTAGAATTTAAATTTTTATGTTTGAAGTTTAAAACATATAGTCATTATTTTCTCAAATTTATCTTATTATTAACCAAGAAAGATTATTGTTCTAAAATGAAAATACCTCTTCTTCTTAATACACACATTTGGGCTGATTTTGTCTCGCAGCCAAACAAGGTGATGATCAGACAGATGATCTTTAATTCAGAATCGCCCAGGACTTGGGCGATTCTGAATTAAAGATCATCTGCTTAAATTTAGTAGGATGGCATGTAGAAATAATAAAATTAAAAATGCTAAACAATTGTTCATGAAGCAATGAAGCATTTATTATCTCGAGGGAATAAAAATTTACACAAAAGCGCAATGTTTATTTGTTTGCTTTATTAAACATATCTTTCTGTGTAAGTTGTTAAATTTACTTCACATAATTTCTTGTTCAGTTGCAAAGATCCACTATCTAAGTCCTGTAATTGCCAAGTTGAGAATTCCCACTGAATTATCAATCACAATTTTTTTGTTCTTGGCAACCTCTTTGTCACTTTCTTTACTATCAGTAGCAATATTGTCTGCATTTAGAAACAACCTCACTACAAATTTTGTATAGTGTTTTATTTTAACACAGCTTAGTTAGCATCTCCTTTACATTATTACGGATGCATCATGAGATTGGTGACTAAAGAAATAATGCCAAGCATAATTCTTATGTTCTGCTATGTATTTTCTGCTTATAAGCATAATTCTTATGCTCTTCTATCTGTCTTGCTCCTGCCACATGTTGTGGAAGTTGTTAAGTCTGAATTACCGTATATAAAAATGATAGCTTAAAAATAAGGAAAAGATTAGATTTTTACATATGCCAAAATGCAGCTTATTTAAAAGAAATCATTTACTTTATGAAATTAAACATTTTCATTATCGGATAACATTGAGTTCGTTTCAATTATATCATCAAGCGTTTCATCGAATTTTGTTTCATCTTTACCATCAGTGTTATTTTGATCCATAAATTATCCATTTCATCTTTCATCAACACCAAACATCCTTGGTGCAGCACAGTTTCCATTTTCTTTCACAAAATAAATGGCTTTGCATTTGAAAACAGCACTGTATTTCTTTCTTTTAGCAGAAGCCATATTTACTATTAAAAGGAGCTCTAGATCAACTGTATTTCAACTACAGCAAATGCGATTTACTACAATTTTCACTTCAAAATCATGGCTTCAAATGACTACAGAAAGAGAAAACATCTAACTCCTAATTCCATGAATTCATTCAGGTTGGAAGTGGTCTAAAATATAATTCTTCTAGACATCTGCATTAAATACAATTCACACTCTTTGCCGGAATATTTACTCTCTCAAGCATTTAACACACACACATATTGCTCTCATTATCGCTTGTCAATGTGGTTTACTTTTGTATGAAAGGCCAGGGCAAATGTTCGAATAAGTGACCTCAAAAATAAAAGCATTGCAAATATATCTTTTAGGGGTACTTTTCCGTTTTGCCAGTGCAAGTGATACAGTCGCCAATAATGGTAGAAGTGATGCCAAATGGAATATCCTCATTGGTAACCTTTTGCGCCTCATTTTTAAAACAAGTCACAGCCATTTCTTATCAGATTGATTGTTTCTTTCAATACTGGCATACAATTACATAGAATTTTTACCAGATAGTTCAATTTTATGCCCTAAGGCCCTTGCCCTTCGTGGTAATTAAGTCAATTAGGATGCAATCACGCTGCACACCCAAAGGCGAAAATATAGAAAAGGCAAAGTCAAGGGTTAAATTCATTAATTCTAATGAGAATGCACTAGCAAAGTAAAGCACTGCGGTTTTAGATAATTTCTGAGTAAGGCTATTCATACAAATTGAAATAAATCTTTCATTTAAACTTGTATTCCAAATTAAGATTTAACTTGAAATTAATGTAAATAATTACTAAGAAAATTAGATTTTTGTAGCGTAGTTTACGTAAGATGAGATCACTTGGGGTCATGCAATATGAACCAGCGAATCAGGATGTTGAACCATAAAAGCATAGTAAATTCTTAAATTAATGTCTTTTGACAAATTTATTGTCTTTATTTATTGGCTTTTTACAAAATTTTAAACTATATTAAAATGTTTATGTCTTCAAAATAAAAAATTCTTAAGATCTAACATTTGTTAAAATTTTTTATATGTATATTGTATACTAATTCAGAAGTCAAACAACAAAAATCAGCGTTATATTTTCAAATTTTCACAGGACTAGTTTCGATGGTTTTACCGAACCACCATCCTCAGCTGCAAAAGTGCAAAATTTGCGCTCATTCTAAAAGTTCTGCCCTCCTTAAATTCTAAAACTTTTGCCCTCTCTGAATTCTGGCAACAGTCCTATTAAGAGGTTAGCATTCTTCTATCTGATGCAAATATAAAGCCCTTCCTCGCACAGGTGCAGTGGATAAACGTACGTAGGCGGTGAAAATCAGGAGTGGCCAAAATCTCGCATTACCATGACTTGTAAGTAATAACTTTTTTATTACAAGTAATTACTTTCAAAAGAACTTAAAAGTAAATATTAAAAAGTATTTATAGCATTTATATAACAGTTTATCCAAGTCATAAAAAGGTAAATGTAACTTACTTCTTCTCGTCAATAAAAAAGAAGCAATTTAAAAGTACAATGCCATTAATAAGTGACCAAAATCCATACATGTGTTCAAGTACAGGTCCTTCTACAAAAAGAAAAATATATTTTATAACCTGGGAAATGAAAGGTATCATAAAATACAAATGACTAATTCAACGAAATGCAATTAATTAGTTTTTGATACAGGTACTTTATTTTAAAAAGAGGAAATGAAAATTAATCATTTGAAAAAACCTGCAAAATCTTTCAATTTGCACAGTTTAATTAACATCTGTAAACTGTCATGCTTTAATTAATATTCAAATTAGACATTACTAAATAATGAATACAGTCAAAAGTCGTTAATTCGGACACCCAGAATCCGGAGTGATCTATAATCCGGACCTCAAAGCTACAAACTTTCTGCGCACGCATTGCGTTGACGCATGACTGACGTAAGACTTTTACGGCTGTGAATATGCGCGTGTGCATGTGCGTAATACGTTTATGCTTGCGCCTTTAATGTATAACGGACGGTATAAGCTAAGCTAAAATTATCTAATTCAGTTAATGTTGCAGATTGCGTTGTTCCTGAATCTTCAAATCGGATCCGGCTTATTATTTTTTGTAGACTGTTAGAGCAATTTTATAAAAGTAAGCTTGAACTTTCGATTATGTCAAATAGAATTTCCGATATGTATTTACTATTATGTAAAGGATCTACAAAGCGAAAGTATGTTTAGAAGTCCATTAAACAAAAAGTGGAATTGCTGCAAAAATGGATAAAGGCATATCCTTCGTTTCTCAAACCATTCCGAAATCTGTTTATCAATTTCACGCTGCTCTGCAGCCCGGGGGGGGGCGCCGAAACGCCGCGGCGCGCAATGAATTGGAAGTTAATCTGTCAGCACTATCCTTATCTTCAGGGCAGATGTTTTTATTTTATTTCGCTTCTAATTCCTTACTAAATGTAGTATTTCATCTCGATGTACTCCGTCTTTGATATGATTTAAATCAAATTCCTCGTCATTATAATTCGCTTCCGATAAAGAAGAAAGTGATACAGAGGTTATTGAAAACGAAAAAATTTTGATTGACAAATTAGTCGGTATTCTCGACACAGCAATTATAGGACTTTGACAGCGGAACTTTGTAACTGAAGAAGAAATTATTTCTGTTCATAGAATTAAAGAGAAAGTATTATCACATAAAACAAAGCAACTTAAACAACTTACATTGAAAGAAATTTTTTAATAAAATAAACAAATAAATATTAAGCTTTTTTTTTTTTTTTTTTGTAAATTTTGATACCCTTTAGATCATAATTGTTCTTTATTTTGTAAATTGCGGTTTCATATTTTTAATTTTTTATAATTTCTGCATGCCATCTTACCAGATTTAAACTGATGATCTATAATCCGGAATTGCCGAAGATCCGAAGAGTCCGGATTAACCACTTTTGACTGTATCATCCAGGGTTCTAGATGGTTTGCCGCTGGTATGGAGAAGGTAACTAATTGAGAGTGGTAATGTTTAATATCAAAGTTTATTTAGTTTTCAGGAATACTTCTTATTTTCTGAGATGGTTGCCATAACAAGATTCACTATACTCATCTATTAATTAACAAGATATAACATAATTTATTTAACATGATATAAATATTCATGTATTAAGTATAGAAATATATTTTTTATTTAATGGAAATCATTTTCTCCAAATAAAGAAGGAAAAAAAATAGAGTTCCATTACATCATGCATTGTATCTGCAGCATTTTCTAGTCATGAGGAAAAAAAGAAAAAAAAAAAAAAAAATACATTGCACAATGGCAAAGAGTAAGCCTTGACAGATGACAGGCTAACAAGCAGTTAAACTGGAATGTTCAATGAAATTTCATTATATATTTATTGAACATTAGAAGAGCATAACTAAAAATAAAGAGATCAGAAAAGAAAAAAAAAAAAAAGGAGCAACTGAAAATCTTTTCATGAGAGGTTAAATTTAAAACATAAATTTCAACATTCAGTTCAACTTGTTGAATGTCTACCATATTTTACCTTAAGTTTATTCTCCAATAATTAAGCAAGTATGTTGCATGTGGAATTTTGTGGCTTTTTCCCATGTTTAACACTGACATAAAGTAGCCTTTGTTTGTAAAAACATTCATGATGGCATTGTTTCTAAAATAAACAGCTTCAAATTCTTTACCTTAAAATATAATCTAATATAACTTCAAAGCAAACAATGTGACATTGCATATTTCTTTGATGCATGTATTTCATTATAAGCAGTGATTAGCTATAGGAAGTTGTTAAATTGGTATATAATTTACAAGCCTCTTTTCTTTTGTTTAGATCTCGAAAATTCTATCTATATAATTAATGCTTTAAACTCATACAGAATTTCTGAAAATAATTTTAAGGATAATTTAATTGCATTTTGTTCTGATTGAGCTAGTGTAACTTTAAGAAGAAAACTGGCAGTTGTAATTAAACTTCAGCAAAAATTTCCTAACATTTACATTAATGAAATGATTCAATTTGGAATATTTATTGATAAATTGCATGCTCTTTACTACCCTCTCCCCAAATCACATGAATTAAATGAGATTTGTAAAGATCTAAGTGTCAAAACATTAAAAATTCATCATGTGTTTGGACCATGATGAGCAACACATAGTTCCTAGATTGCTCTTGCTATACAACGGAACTATCCAGCTATATGGAAAAATTTTACATTGAACATAACTGATTCCTAAATTTGGAATTTTTCAAAGACCTGGTATTAATTACAGTTATCCTATAGGAATTGTCATATCTAATGTTTTTGATTTAAACCTTTAAAAATTACAAAAAAAGTTTTTCTTCAAGCAGAACTATTTTTATTTTTTATTTTTATTAAAAAGTAAAATAATTTGTTAGAATTTGATATTTTATTTTAATACAATACACTGCATATCCCTAGTTAGATACACTAGTAATAATGCATTAATTCAAAATAAAAGTACAAACAGTAGATACTTCTTAACACCTAAATACACGATGTCCCTTATATACAACTTAAGCATTTCGTAAAAGAACAAATTATCTTCATGAACATTTTGTTTGTATGAAAAGTGACTTAACATCACACTTTGCTATTACAGAGTTAGTTATTGCAGAAGAGGTGTGGTTCTGTTTCAGTAAATTCCTTCGGTCAAAAGCAAACCATGAAAACAGCAGGATTTAGGACCGAGGAAATTTTCCCATGTTACATGAAACATTGCTACATCTGTAGGATGGCAGCATCTAGAATGCAGTATCATAAGACACAATGTTGATCATTTTTTAAGTGTATCATTAATGAAGAATGCTGTTAGAATCTTTTATGCAATTTACATCTTCTTAGAAGAAGAGAATGTAATTATTACTTGCAAATGATGAAAGAACACTGAATGTGCTATGAAAAATACTTTAACATTTTCAATGTTACTTTATCATTTTGTTACCATATACACAAATGGTCTGCTAATTAATTAATTAGCATTCATTTGCCAAATTGAAAGTATGCAATTTTAACTATAATAATTGAAAGTATGCAGCAATATTAATAAGCATAACAACTTCCAAGACTCAAATCAAGTGAGCAAGAGAAAAATTTATGTGATATATGTGCGACTATGTAAAATCATTCTGTGCACTTATGGTTTCATTAGGAGAGGGAGTAAGAAAAGGGGCGGGACAAAGAAATATGCATAAAATATAAACATAAAATGATTTAATCATTTGAAAATTACGAGACAAACCATTCGATAACTTAAGAGAATATTTTATTGTAATTCAGTGAGGTAAACATGAAGCCAGAATAAATATAGTTTATACTAAATTCTTATACATTGTTTGGGTAAATACACATCAAGTAATAAACACAAAATCAATATTCTAACCTTTACTTTTAAAACCAGTAGACTTCCATAACTGAGAATCAATGGCAAAAAATTTTGAATGAACAAAATTATCCTGAGTAAAGCAACGAAATGCAGCTCCGAAATTTGTAAATGCAATAAATGCAATCCAACATCGAAGGGTAACTGTCATCCAATGCGGCATCATATTTGCGATTTCAAAAAATCCATTCTCGTTACTTAATCACGTTTTAAAAGAAACCAAATGCCTTATAAACAGATTATTGTATATTTTTCAGTATCAATGTCGGTCTTTACGAAGTACAGTTTAGCATAAAACTGAAGGAAAACAAGAAACACACATGCCTATGGGATAACAGAAACTATAGCAGACATACAAATGAAATGTTAATGCCAATTCTTGAATAGTAATTTTCTACTCTCTCAGCAAAAATTCATTTACAATATATTGAAACGCATTCGATACATAAAATTCAGTCATTACTCTTTTTTAAAAAATTAATTTAAATTTATAGTATAGATTTTTTAAGCTTGTTTCAAACGCTTTAATATTTTTTTTGGGGGGGAGGGGGGGTAATCGGTTCCTTTACTCTAATTTCAATTTTTTTTCTTTCATTTTACAAAATATTATAACATTTACAGCTGAAAATGTTTTTACTACAATTTATGACTGATGAATTTCTTTATGATTATTTCCATAAATAGCATTCTCAAATCTCAAAAGTAAAACATTTCAAACAAGCACTACGTTGAAATGAACTAAGTTGAAAACAGCGAAAAATGTTTGTAGAATAAGACATAACACTAATTTAGTAAATTTGGCATTTAATAGCGAAATGGTTAATTTAGGTATTTCATCAATAAAAAAATTTATGATACTCAGTTAAACGCTTCATAAATATCTGTATGCATTAAGGAGTGTTGACCCGCCCGATGGCGGACCGACATATGGATTTTTAAACTGACGGAAAATATGTCAGGAATAATAATAATAAAAAAATAGTGTATTATCCTGTGATTTTTAAAATTCTGCTGTAAACTATTATTTTAGAAATAAATTTAATATTTTTCAACTGAATTTTGATTACCCGAATTCTAAATAACCTGTAATTATTCTCATACATAAATATTTTATAATTTTCCAAAGAATAAAATCATATATTAGTGTCTGAATCTTATAAAAGCATCTCTTTTAAAAATGTGGATTTTATTTCCTTTTGCAAAGTGTTGTTTATTATTAAATTAAAATTAATTCTAAGCTTCATAATAAGTATTCTACATTTATAATTTTTTTTTTTTTTTTTTTTTTTTTACGTTCCTGTCTTTGGAAACATTTTTGGTGATTCTGCAAGAATAGTTAATTGAAAATAATGAAGATGAGATCATTTGTGAAACAGTTTTTTTAGACCTTGGAAGTAAATTCACATTTATTATATTTATTTTGAATTAATTTATTCAATTCTATTAGATTTATTAGCTTCAATTTATAAATATCTTGGATGCTATTACAAGTTAATTAAATCTCTTTTAGATACATAGAATTATTTATTTTTTATTATGTTGTTGCTTGTTATCAAAATGCTTATTAATTCTAGGCTTCAAAATACATACTTTATATTTAGAATTTTATTATTATGCATCTATTTGTTTGTTTGCTTATATATTATTATTATGTATATGTTTGTTTATTATGTATATATTATATATTTGTTACTGGAAAAGCCTTAAATGACGCCTTGTTCAAGAACTGTTATTGGAATTAAATAAAAATGATATTATCTGCCTTTTAAATATATTTCTTGAATTATAAACCTTGAAAAATAATTTTGCTTTAGACTTTCTAAGTAAGTTATCGTTCAACATATTTATTTAATGATTTTGTAATTTATTATGTTTATTCGCGTAAATTTTTGAAGAAAGTAGAGAACGTCATTTTAAAATATGTCGTCAATTTTATTTCGATTGGTTACACTGCTTTTTGCCGTACGAATATGTCATAAGAAATAATACTAAAAAGTAATTGCTATTTTGTTGCATTTATAGGCATCTGCGTATAATACATATTTCATATTTTTTGGAATAAGTATGGAGTGAAAAGAATTCATGCATGCATGTGTGTGTACACATACATACGTACATGCACATATACCTACATAATTTCTGAACGCTGTCACGATAACAGAAAAGTACGACTTAATTTTAAAAGGCAGACGATAATTCCTGTGATGTATTGTTACTGGCAAGACAGTAATTTCGATTTGCACAAATAGATAGCGTTATGTTCGTTTTGTTATTCTTCTATCAATCTCATCATTCTTTCTCTTTTGGATTTGGAAGCCGACAATTTTACGTTGCTATAGAAACCAAGGAGGTTAGAATTCTAACCTTCCTTCATAGAAACATATTCCGTGTATATTCCTTTACAATTGTTAGCATACGGTTAGTTTTAACATGGTGTGCAAGAAATAAACATTTTCGGCATATTTTACTTTTTTATTTTCACGAAGGCAAAAAAGCGGCTGAGGCTTACAAAAAGATATGTGAAGTTTATGGTGTTGATTGCTTAACAGAATGCATGTGTCAGAAATGGTTTAAAAGGTTTCTCTTTGCAGATTTTTCACTTGAAGATGACCAACGTTCTGGCTCTTCTGAAGTTGATGATGACAAAATTAAAACCATAATTAAATCGAATCATTATATAACTGTCCGAGATATTGCAAAATGGTTAAATGAATCACCCACGACAGTTGAAAATCACATAAGATTCTTGAACTTGTTAAGAAACTCGATATTTTGTTCCTACTTAAACTGAAAGGAATACACTTAAATAAGAGCTAGCACAATATTTGCGCTACTCAGTTCAAACGTGTTGCAATCAACATTTTTTTAAATGAATTATTAAATTATTATTAAATAATGATGAAATTATTAAATGATGATGAAAAATGGATCGTCTACAATAACATTAATAAACAAAATTATGGCCCAAGCATAATGGATCAGCACAAATCATACTGTAAGCTAAATTGCATCAGAAAAAGATCATATTGTCAACTTGGTGGGATTACAAAGGTTTGTGCATTTTGAGCTGCTTCCAAGCAACCAAACGATCAACTCAGATGTTTATTGCAAAACAACTTATGAAATTGGAAGGAACAGCCAAAGAGAAAAGACCAGAATTTGCAAATCGCAACCCACCACAATAATGCGAGGCCTCACTCATCTTTTGCAACACTTATGAAATTATTGGAGTTTGGTTGAGTGATATCGCATCTTCCATATAGCCCCGACCTTGCACCACCGGATAATCATTTATTTCGAAGTTTACAAAGCTTTTCAAATGATAAAAATTTCAGTAACAACGATCATCAATAAATCGCACTTGGTTGAGTTTTTGACTGTTCTTTTACAAGGGTTTTTTTAAATTTTTTTTTCAAAAACTGAATCATAAAGTTACCAGAAAAATGCAAAAGGTCATCGAACAGAATGGAAGTTATTTGACTCTGTTCATTTTTTGTGTAGGAAAAATTGAGTTGGTACTTTTCCGTTTCGTCGGCGCAAATCTAGCCAAGCAGACTTTGTTGGCGACATACAGCATACAGTATACACATAAAAAATTTTAACAAATGGTTAGTTCTAAGAATTTTTTATTTTTAAGGCATAAACATTTTAATATGGTTTAAAATTTTGTAAAGAGCCAATAAATAAAGATAATAAATTTGTAAAAAGACATTACTTTAAAAATTTACTATGCTTTCATGGTTCAACATCCTGATTCGCCGGTTCGTATCACGTGACCCCAAGTGATTTTATCTCACGTAAACTACGCTACAAAAATCTAATTCTCTCATCAGAACCGTAGCTAGGGTTTTTAGCGCCCGGAGGCAGCTGAAGATTTTGCGCCCCTTCTATGTGCCAAGAATAGGAAATATTTCATTCTAAGATGTCATAGTATTAAACTGGCGCCCCCTAGATACCGCGAGCGGGGACAGATGTCCCCCCTTGCCCCACCCTAGCTACGCCCCTGTCTCTCAGCAATTATCTACATTAGTTTTAAGTTAAATCTTAATTTGGAATACAAGTTTAAATGCAAGAATTATTTCAATTGGTACAAATAGCTTTCTCAGAAATTATGTAAAACCGTAGTGCTTTATTTCGCTAGGGCATTCTCATTACAATTGATGAATTTAACCCTTGATTTTGCCTTTTCTATATTTTCGCCTTCGGGTGAGCGGTGTGATTGCATCCTAATTGACTTAATTATCGCGAATGGTCTTAGGGCATAAAATTTAATTATCTTCGTAAACATTCTATGTAAATGCCAGTATTGAAAGAAACAATCAATCTGGTAAGAAATGTCTGCGACTTGTTTTGAAAATGAGGCGTAAAGGTTACCAGCGAAGATATTCCGTTTATTCCGTATTCTTCGCTCTTAAAACACACAAAATTCAATTCAGCAGCAATATATCACAAAATATTTTAAAACAGCATATCTTTAGAATCTCCCATACACAGTCTTGCGCGCTGGAGATAATTTTTTTTTTTCGCACAGTGTTGCCATTGCTCGCTTTGAAATCGTTCACTTTGTTAATAAAAAATTTGTTAAAATTTTACAAAATTTTAAATAGATAATAAATTCGAAATTCAAAATTCGGGCTTCTAAGTGCCCACGTTCGCTTGGAGGACTACGTTTCTTAAAATTTGATGGTTCTAGGTACTGTTGTTTCTTCACAATGAGAGAAACATTCAGGTATTCATTCAGATTCTTCATTATTTAGTTTCTTTAAATATAATACGTGGCGATACTATTTGGTGGCAATAGTTCGAAAAGTGAATCGACGTAAAATGCCGTTTTGAAATTAATACCCCTTGTAACGCCTTTCGAGCTAAATATATTTGAAGTGTGTGTTTCAACATTTAACGTATTAACTGAAATTTTTTATTACCGCAGATGGTAACCAGCCAGTAATGACATTCTGATATTTAACACACGAATAAAGTCTTGTCTAGTTGTTGCAACCACGCATAATTATAATTTATGTGTTTTAGAAAATTGGTAAGTTATTAAAATAAAGGCTGGCCACTATTTTATTAGTATGGCATATTACGAATAACATGAGCTATTACAATATTTGTGAAATGTAAATTTTTCCTTATCTCGCACAGTCTTGAGAATCATATCAGCATTGCTCCAGTCTCCATCATCCATTTCAGTACACATTTCTGCCAGTTATCATCTGCAATTCTTTCTTTCCTCTTCCCCCTTTGCTAGTGTCCATACAATGAAATTACACATCATTTGTAATCATGAGCATATTTTAAAATTCTCACACAAATAAGAAGATGAATTTAAATACAATAAAATTAATTAGTTAGAGGATCATATTTACTTTATATTGATGCTTGAAGAATTGTATGTGGTAGTATCAGTGAAACTCATATCTACTGGATATCGCAATATCGAAATTACAGATATTAGTTACTCAAGTACTACTCTTTGATGCAAAGCCATGCTAAGGGTGTAGAAGTAGAGACAATCAAAATTATATAAAAAACAAACAAACAAAGAAAAATCTGAAAGGTTTCAGATTTTAACGGTTGCCCAAAAGGGTTTTATTTTTTCTACTTTTTTGTTGATGTTGTTGCACTCACTCCTGCTAACCCGTTTCTTTTTGTCTTTTTAGCTTTATTAAAAACTGTATCATTTTCTTTGCACTTACGCCATATACAATTCAACAGCAGAATTACAAAAATTTTAAAAGCAGCATATGTTTAGAGTTCCCGATTACCGTATTTGACGGCATATAAGACGCACTTTTTTTCCTAAATTTGGTCTCAAAAAAGTTACCTGCGTCTTATATGTGAAGGATACAGTCTTATACGTGAAGGTAATTGCATTCAATAATTGTTTATTTGGCTTTTACGAAACGTGAGAACTAAAAAAAACCACGCTATTGAAACTTTTTTTCCTTGTGTATGGCCGTCTAAATAAGGGTGCGTCTTATATGCTGTCAAATACGGTAAGTGTTTTGTGTTGGCATAAATTTTTCTGTTTTCTTTCCAGTCTTTTCTCAGTTTTTTTTCCAGTCTTTTCTCAGTTTATCACATCAATATACAGTTTTCTTACTAAGATGGCTTGAAAAACTTTTTTTTTTGTTTTGTTTTTATTATTAACGTTTTCGAGTTAAATTTATTTATTAAATATTATATCACTTACGCCACATAAAATTCAGTTGAATAGCAAAATGACAAAATTAAAAAAGTGTATCTTTAGAATTTCCGCTACATAGTCTCGAGCGCTGGAGATTAAAATGTTTTAATCCGTACAGTGTTGCCACTGCTGGTTTTCAAGTTGCTGAGTTTGTTAAAAGTTCATTAAAGTTTTGCAAAATATGAAACATAAAATTCGAGGTTC